CAGCAGAAATGCATCATTTGTAAAGCTGCTTAATCTGCTTTAATCTGTATTATATAAAACGCTATATAAATAAAGGTGACTTGGCTTGACTTTCTTCTGTGGGACATAAAAGAAGATATTTAGAAGAATTCTAAGAAATGATCAGATTGTTTATAATCAACACAAAACAATTTTTTTTACCCATTTTACTAATGAAATGTGATGTATTTTTGAGCAAAAAAGGATGTTCAGAGGAAAGAAATGTGACTTTATTGTTAATTTTGTTAGTTTATTTTTTTTTATTTTGTGAATTGACTGAATTGTCAAGGGTAGTGGGAAAAAATAAGAGGACTTGATGATTTCATCCATTTGGAAATTTGTTTCAGGCGAAGCAAGTTTTGAATGTGGTGTGTGTGTGTGTGTGTGTGTGTGTGTGGTCCAGGTAAACCCTACGTTATGAGGACAAAATGCCCCCACAAAGATGGCAATATCCGATTTTTTTTTCTGGTCCCCATGAGGAAAACAGCTTATAAATCAGACTAAATTATGTTTTTTGAAAATGTAAAAATGCAAAAAAACAACTCTGTAATGGGTAGGTTTAGGGTTAGGGAATCGAACAGATTGTACAGTATAAAAATCATTATGTCTATGGAAAGTCCCCATAAAAAACACAAAGCGCTTGTGTGTGTGTTGATGAAACTTTTTTCTGTCATTCAAAATAAGACCAAAAATTTGCATTGAAAACTAAAAATAGGGTCCATTTTCATTTATTTTCCTTTTTTGTCCATGAGGGTCAATTCAAGGAAAGTTTTACTTTTGTGGAATCCATTTGGATCTTCATCTGCATGTGTAACTTTCCACTCAACTATTATTACCGTATCACTCCTCCTTACTGACAGCTACACTAGATGTTTGAACACACTCTTCAGACACTTATCTGATTTTCATTCTCCCACTGAATTCGTCTCTCTCTACATGCAGCAAGTACAATAGGTCCAAAACTCAAATCTAATGTTTGAGATTTGAAGATTTGAACCTCTGCCCTTACACACACACACACACACACAAACACACCCATACTGTATGGATATGAGTATACACACATACACACTCTCCAGTGTGAAACATGTTGGCAGGGAAAAGCACTAGAGTTTGGAGGTGGGTGGGTGTTGCGGTGGTGATGCTGCCGTTTGTGAAGTCTCTTGAGAGTCAATCCAAATGTTTCAGACAGAATGCAAAAAATAGCAAATTAATGCCCCTGAAGTGTACCCACCCACTGGAGCCGTGCCCTCGCTTAAAATACATCATCTGTTTCACAATCCGTCCACAAAAAAAAAAAAAAACATCAAGGCTTTGTGGTGCGGTTTGGTTCAGGTGGAGGGAGGTTGGATTGTTGATGTATTTATTATTGTTCGTTTGAAGCGACCTTGCTCCATGCAAACGCAAATTGAATCAAAACGCTGTGGGAAACAAATCCTCTGCTAGTAGACAATTGTGCTATTGTTAAAAAAACAAGTGATTTTTAATTGCATTAAATATTACACAACAATGCGAAAACATTCTGAAATGGGCTATTTTGGTGTATTGCCACTCACACGGGCCAACCAAACCGATTTGGCTCTCAAACGCCTCAATGAGATACTTGTTGCTTCTAATGTGGCGATTAATGGTGTTTATACCACCTGCATAATTGTTGTTTGAAACCTGTGAGATTTGATGACAACATCTGTATTTAATCTACCAGAGCAGGGGCCATCACTGGCATCGCTGATTATTATCGTTTCGAGACGTCTGCTGTGTCAGTTATGTACTAATAGGCTTAGTGATGTGCCACATAGTCAGCAGGTTTCTGTCATAAACCGCCACATGCATCTCTATGTCGGCAGTTAATCAGTAAATGATTAGATTGCTTAAAATTAACACAAAACTACATTCACAACCCATTTTATTTATAAAATGGGAAGCATTTCTGAGCGAGAAGGATGCTTCGATGATGGAACTTGATTTTATTGTTAAAGTTTTATTTCAATTTTAATATTTTGTGTTTAATTGATTGAATCGTGAAAAGTGGTGGGTTGGAAAAAAAAAGAGGACTCAATGATGTCAGCAAATTGGAAATTTGTTTCAGAGGCCGAGTGTGTTGATGAAGTACCGGTATTCAAAACAAGACCAGACATTTGCATTAAAAACTATAGGGTCAATTTAAATTTTTCATGAAATCCAATTCAAGCAAAGGTTTACTTTTGTAAAACCAGTTTCAAAGCTCAAAACCATTTATTATTATCTATAACTATTATTTGCCTCTGGTTATGCTTCAAAATGTGAATTACTCATCATCAGCTATCAGATAGGTATCTGAAAGTGTTTTCTTTTGCATTTTCTAAACTACTTTCCAGTCAGCATAAGGCATATTGAACTTTAAGGGCCCAGGCAAGTCTATGTGCCAAAGGTACCAGCGTGTAGCTGCTCAGCTTTTTAAAATCCCCTGATTGGTTTATTGGATCATTTAGTTGGAAAAGCCTGTCAGCATGTATGACACTTCAGGGAAAGGCCGGGAAAGCCATGACAGGATTTAACGCTCTCCAGGACCATCGGGGTCACGAGTCCACTCTACTCTTGTACAAGGTTCTTTCACAGCGTGCGTTTACGCTCTGATCACCATATGTATGCACAAATAAAAGAGGAAGTGAGGGATGCACAAAGAGCACAAAACACCCACAGGATGCTGCCTTTCCTCCCACCGTAGGCCGGTGTTTAAGGGCTAGTCATGTGACGCGGGGAACGTGTTGGTGGTCTCACACAATCCCCCCTTCCCTCTTTCACACTCTCCCCCATCGTCTCCACCCGTTCCCTCACCCCCAACCACAATGCAGCTCAACCTTCAGCCTAATTGGGCTGTGAGGGAGGAGAAATAGAGCGAGGGGGAGAGGAGGCCAAGACCGTTGTGTTTCTTTTAGGAAGATTCCCAAGACTCAGAAGGGCAAAGACTGCAAAACACTCCGAGTAGCAAAGTGACAAAGGCCTTTAGTTAGAAGCCTCCAATCAGTGCACACATATAAACACGCACACAAACATGTGATAGTTCAAACCTGAAAGCTAAAACTGGCATGTAATCAAAGAAATATCAAACTTATTTCTTTTCAAATTGTATAACCAGCAAAACAAAGTAATACAAAAATAATATAAATTAAACAAAATTCTAAGTTATTTTGAATAAATATTAACCATTTATTTATTTTTTTTTTAAATGAAAGATTTTCAGTGTGAACGGCATACTGTTGAACGCCAATTATATCTTACAGAAATCATCATCGAAAAAAATGTGTTGTGACACTTAAAATAATAAATCAAATGTTATAATTAACGAATCACTTTTAAAACTAATATCCTGGTTTTCAAATGCAGATTTATTGTGGGGGTTTTTTGCCCTTGAGGAACTCAGTGTTGCAAAACTTCATCTGCACTGAGAAGTTCTGCTTTCGTTTGGCTAGTCATTGCCATTCTACAACCTTCAGACTTTGCTCAAGCTTACATTCATAAAAACATTTTACAAATAAAAAATTCACTCTCCCTACCCTGTGTATGCTAACATCTTTTCAATAGTCTCTGTCTCTTTTATAAAATGCAACAACATCATAATGTTCATGCAATTACAAGGACAGATTTTTCTTTTTTCTTCTTTGAAAAACAGAGGTGTCTGGTCTACCTTCCATCCCACAACTCAATAAATGATTAAATTCACCTCATCTCACTTTTCTCATTTAAAATCACTGTCTCACTCATCATCCATATTTAAAGTCTTAATCAGATTAATAGTTCAAACCAACCTTTGAAATCGAACACTTTGATTATTTCCTTCCTGTAATATCCCAGTTGGACCAGTAGATTTCCCATAAACGTCCTCCTATTGTGTTTGCTACGATTGTTTCTTTGTCTGAAACCAAGTCAAGGAGTAACTCTGGGAGATGTTTCTGTCCAAATGAAATCAGGTAGAATATATTAAGAGCAATTCCAGGATGTTCAGACAAATTCATTCATGCAAGGCTGAACTCCTGTATGTCTCTCAAACATCCCCACAGCACACAATGTCAGCCAGCGCTGTGACAGAACTGGCAGTGTTAAGTGACCTTGGACGATTTGCACTGATGCTGAGAACGCCACATGAAGAAACCGTCACATCATTTAAAATTTACACAGCTAAGAAAGATGGAATGAAAGACTGAAGAGATTTGTTTTGTTTTGACTTTTTAGTTATATATAATATATATCCACACTCATACCACGGTTCACAAACTTCAAGATATTTAACAACAACACCCCCCGAGCTTTGATTGGCTGTTCAGTCAGAACAAACCCCCCCCCCCCCCCCCCCCCATACATTCATTCTTTCATTATTTACAGATATACTAATGATCTATTTATTACAGACGTGAATAATTTACAATAAAATAACAATTTTAGTTATTCAATCTTCTTGCTTTTATACTACAGTAATCGTATCCTGTTCGTCCATCAGAGATCTGCCTCGTTTCATGTCTGATAATGGAAAGGGCGTAGAATTCTTCTGGAAAACTTTGCCGCATTGGTACAGGGGTTGCTGCTCACGGCAAATCGACTCTAGTCCGATAATGCAAGGGTCTTGTCGATACTCAGGAGCTTAATCCCAGGCAATGACATTTCAAATTTTCTCGTAAGGTTTTCAATTAAACAAGCACCTACACATGGAAACCAGGACTACAACTTTAGTACCAGCACACACACACACACACACACAGAGGAGAAAAACTGCATATTTAAGACATACAAACTCACAAACTGGGACTGCCTTCAAAACTCGTTTTGGGGAGCACCCTCACAGAAACCATTTAGAGAACAACACAGGACTATTGGACTATTTAACGGTCTGACAGCGTTTTCCTTCGATTTAGTCAGAACATCTTTAACCAAACGAATACAAAATGGTATAGACATCTGATCTAATAGCTTGGTACAGCAAATTCATAACCTCTGTAAGCGAACTGTGTATATAAAGCCACAGTATGACTGTATTGTATGCTAACCTTTCGAAATGAATTCCGATATAATATATATATTTCATTATTTGAGACTTGGCAAAACCAACTATGTAAAAATCTCATTTAGATCGCTCTTCAAACTGAAAACATGAGCAATGTTGCTATGAGTTCAGTTTTTATCAGGGGGTCTATGTTCTGAACTGCTGATTTAATACCCAGCAGTTTTCAGATTAGTTTTTAATCTGAATACAACTGTCCAGCTCCAAAAAAGGTGTACGGGAAAAAAAGTGCCCCGAAAATATTGCCTCAGAAAGCATTTTTATCTCTCTTCCCCTCCATAATCTTTTGCTACATTCCTTCCTCAAGCTCTCGTTTGTGTCAAATTTGGAGAAACTTTGATTTAGTGCAAAAAGCTCTGAAAATCCTCGTTTTTGAAAAGTATGAGTCCACCTTTTTACAGTTCTGAGAGGAATCAAGTGTGCAGGTTGATGACATGAGGGAAAAAAACGCAAGATTGAAAATACAACAGCACTGATGGGACAAAAGGGGCGAAAGTTAATTAAAAAAAGAGAGATAATCAGAGCTCAAACTAATTTCAAAACAACAACAACAACAACAAAGACAAAAAGAAACCCCTAGTGATCATTCCAAAACTTTCTTGTCTAGCGCTTCTTTGCCATTGGTCCGCGAGTAGGGCTCAAAGGCGGAGGAGCTCAGGTAGCGGGCAGAAAGTTCCTGCAAGTTCCCTGCGAGGGATCCGGCCATGCCGAGAGGGGTGGAGGAGATGCGTGAGGCGACCGACCCAAGTAGAGAGGGCATAGGAAAGCTAAACAGCCCGTGGGCAGGCGGAGATCCCTGCAGCCCTGTGACTGTCCCCGAACTGGTCACCGCTGGTAGCGGCGGGCTCCCCCCGGCTGTGCCTGAGCTAGCCGCGCTGCTGCTACTGCTGCTGGAGGAGCCTCCATTAGCGGTGATGCCCAGAGACGGCCCACGCAGGGCTGAGCTTAGTGACGAGCTCCCGCAGTGGGGCAGCAACCCTGGCAGGCCAGGGGGAGTGAGGAGCCGGCCCTGCTCCAGGAGACGGAGGACGCTGCATGTGGCAGCTGTCTCAGAGACCACGGAACGCAGCTCTGAATCCTTCCCCTGATCCTTCTTCTGCTTAGTGCGCCGATTCTGGAACCAAACCTTCACCTGCCGAAGGATGGAAAGAGAGAAAACAGCTTAAAATAGAACACGACAAACAAAATAATGAGGGAAATTGTGTGATCTTGCATAATACCGCTATAATGCTACTTAGAATTGGTTACAAATGTAATAAATAAATAAATATAAAGTTAAAAAAGTAAAACAATTCTTTGATTTTTTACATACCATGATTTATAGAAGTCTATTTGTAGAAACTAAATAAGGTAAAATGTGATTAGATTATATATGTCTAAGGTAAATCTGATTCATTTTTGGAGCAGTAAAAAAGTAAAAACTCCTGTGCATGTAAAGCTTAAGTTAAAATGAATAGTGTAAGCGAAACATATTTTGAAATTAAAAAAGGTAAATGTAAGTGTTGATATGAACTTATTTAATGAACAAAAATGTGTGCTTTTCTTTTGAAAAACAGCACAACACAAGCTCCTTTTGCAAGGACGGATGGATCAATACTGTTTTGAACCACATAATTGTACTGTATCCATTTCATTTAGGTTTACAAAGAAAGAGGAATGGCAATTTCCAGATAATACATGTTTAGCTCAAGCTCCAATAGCAAAACAAAGTCATAATATATATTTATTTTCTATAGAGAAAAGGAGGTCCGCTTCATATTCACTGTACTTCAAGTGATCGATAGATTCAGAGAAATAAGAACAATGAAGAATGACTAACATCTCAGAATTGTGTCACGCAGTTTTAACTGTCACATTAAAGGCATCGCAATGGCGGTCATAGGCTACTATTTAAATGTTTAGTGCAAAATTATTAAAGAACAAATATGCAGCTCAGTTTAACAAAGCTGTTAGTTACATAAGTAGATACCTTAACAGTTCCATCAGTGTTGTAATGACACGCTAATTATTGAGTTATCAGATTAAACCCATTGTCTATACATTTCTAAACATGTACATTTGTCATTTGTATTTGTTTAATCTCGCAATGTTTTGTTGATAACATGAACGGGAAGGTCAAGGAAAACATTGAATTACCAGCAATTCTAAAAAAAAAACAATATTTTCTCTCTCATTCTTGACGCATTCTTGTTTGTGTCTTTGAGAAATAAAAAATGCATTGCTGGAACACTTTCACAAATGGATGACTTTCCTTGTTCGATCTTTCCACAGAACATTTGAACACAATGTTAATTTCATGATGCCGTCATTAAGGAAGTACTTCACCGTCCTCATCAGGCGGCCAAGAAGAGACACGGGAAGCTTTAATGTAATCAAGGCATGGATTTGAACTGCACTGCAGCACGGGGCATTAGAGAGGGCATTAGTGAAGCTAACGCTAATTGTGCTCCCTGTGTTAGCAGCACCGATCTGCCTCGGGGCTTCAAATGTCGTAATTTCGCCCCACAGGAGAGCAGAAAAATTTTAAAGTCGTTAGTGGGTGATGAATGTGATAGAATGTGACACAGTTCAAATGGCCAACAGAATTAGGAACATTGAGACAGCTTTGGCGGTTTGCAGGTGTTCAAGGAGTTTAATTAGGGGAGGCCCGATCAATAGTAACAACATATGATTGAATAATTGAGAAAATTTGTGAGCCATTTTGACATTTTTCCTTAATAAATGTAGTACTTGGTCATGCAAGCATGTGGTATAATGAACATGTTCACTGATGAATAAAAAAATAAAAAACGTGGCCTCCAAAATTAGCCTTACTACTGAAGTCAGAGTTTCCCCGCACTGCAGATTATCCAGGGAGACACGCAGAGAGAGAGAGAGAGAGAGAGAGAGAGAGAGAGGGGGAGAGAGAGAGAGAGAGAGAGAGAGAGAGAGAGAGAGAGAGAGAGAGAGAGAGAGAGAGAGAGAGAGAGAGAGAGAGAGAGAGAGAGAGAGAGAGAGGGGATAAAAAAGGCCAGAGAAGCAGGGAGAGAGAGAGAGAGTGCATGTACAGTTCAGTCATGTAATCTCAAGCTTGTGACCTCTTACTGACCCCTGCGCAAAGCATGTGCTGCAAATGCATCGCTGGGCTTATTTTTGAAAAGCGGCCCTGTATGCCACTAACAAACCATCAAACTATTGCAAAAGGGAATTATCCAGGAAAATGTCAGGAACATGCGATCGGACCATTGATGTTTTAGGTGCTCTGAAGGGATGCCACAGGATGATCAAAATGCAAATAAAATAAAGATCAAATCATATAGTAAGAACATTGTTACCAGATGTATTTTAAGATGGTACAGAGAATCAAAAATGCATTTTTACACATCAAATGCGTCAGACGTGTCACAAGGATAAATATTTTTGGGAGAGCTGAATGTGTGTGATACACACTTGTGATTATTTTTGAGTTTGTCTTGTTTTTCAGTGGTCTTTATAATTGATTGGTTTGTGTATTTGTAATTGTATTTGTGTGTATCGATATGTGTATTTGAGTGTGTACCTGAGTTTCAGACAGGTTAAGTTGTCGGGCAAGTTCGGTTCGTTCTCGTCCCACAACATACTGGCACCGCTGAAACTCCATCTCCAGTCTGTACAGCTGTTCTGCTGTGAACGAGGTCCTAGTACGCTTTGGTCGGTCTAGATCCAAACCCTTGGGGAGAATAATCTCTCGAATCGAACCTTTGGCATCTAAATGTCAAGGGGAAAATGTTTTCAGTAAATTACAGTATACCTGCTATAAGATAACACTTTACAATAAGGTCTCATTTGTTAACATTAGTTAATGTATTAAATAACATGAACTAACAGTGAGCAATATATATTCCTAACAACATTTATTAATCTTTGTTAATGTTAGTTAATAAAAATAGAGTCGTTCATTGTTTGTTCATGTTAGATCACAGTGCATTAACTAAGGTTAACAAAAACAACTTTTGATTTTAAAAATGTATCAAATGTTGAAATAAACATCTACGATCAATAAATGCTGTAGAAGTATTGTTCATTGTTAGTTCATGTTAACTAATGTAGTTAACTAATGTTAACAAATAAAACCTTATTGTAAAGTGTTACCAAATTATCAATGAAATATTTGTACATACAATTAGCAGAAATCATTATATAATAAAAACATGCTAAAAGTGTAACTTTTTTGAGAAATTAATATAGTAATGCAAAACAGATTAAACTGTACAAAACTTGGTGTTTTAATCAAGAAAACCTTTTTTCCCCAAAGACCGTCATGTTTTTGTAGGCATGTCGTGGCATATAAATGCCAAACAAATGCTGACTAGTACTTATTATTTTATTAATAAAAAAATGGTCTGTGCTTTTAAATACTAACAACTTATTATGTATGAAAATAGTGTTGTGTAAAATGAAAAGCTAATAAGTTGCATAAATCACAAATACACGAAAATCTATCAAATCAAACAGCATAACAATTTTCGATTTTTCTGTCTTTCACATTTTAGTTATAAATATTTCAAATTTTTATCTCAGGACAGATTAAATGATTACTAATAACTTTTCGTAATAAAATTAACAAAGTAAATGAAAGGAGGAAGAGAAATGTGTGATTTGAAAACTAAAAAAACTAAATATTTAAAAACATACACCAAACACGTTAGCTGTTTTTTTATATTTAAAATATTTTAAAAAAATTATTTTTCCCTTTGAATCCCCTTTGTTATTAATGTAGGAGAACCGTGCACCAGTATGCTTATCACTTTTTTTTATCAATAAATACATTCTTTTTAAAATAAGTTAAGCTTTGTGACAACTTCAAAATCATTAAAAACACACACACACACACACACACACACACACACACACACACACACACACACACACACACACTGGTCTACAAAATTATTCAAATCCAGATACTGAATTATTGTATTGGCTGCTGAATTGTGACTGAAGAAATGACACAATAATTTCATAAGGTTAATTTCCTCATATTTCAACAGGCCTCTGAGACTGACCTAGATTTAGCTTCACAACCTAAATAAATTAATGGAGCTGATTGCTCTCCAGAATTTTACAATCAGCTGACAGTAGCAGGAGGGGCTTCACAACTATGTTAGTAATTTGACACAAATCGACAAACAGTTTTTAGCCATTATATGAAAACATTATAATAGCTTTTCTGAAAACTTAATGTGAAACATTTTCAATTTACAAATAAATTGTTGTGCATGCTCCACAATCTCAATTACATTGTTTCTGAAAGAAAAAAAAGAAAAAAAATTCTGATATTCAGATCTCCATTCCGATACCTTAGTAATTTTTCCAATGAAGGACAAAAAGCATTGAAGCTCATAAATATAAAAAAGCAGAGATCATAAGACCATCTAAAAATTATAATCAACTTAATCAGTTGTGTAAATAAAAAGTTAAATTATCCCTTATGTACAAAAATAACAAAATTTATCCTTAAACCTCACAATCACAGAAAATGTACTTTAAACAAATAAAGCTTTGTCAATATATATAATATATAATACCAGATCTAAAGTATTTTCCAGCTTTGATAATTAATCTATTAATTTTAGTGTTTATGTCTATAATGGTAATACACAGTTGAAATGCTAAATAGCATTTGCAAATATTTGCAACTAAAAGGCAACGGAAAAATTGGATCATTAAGCTATGAGACACACTATAACAGCTGATAAAATAACAATCATAATTCTTTTTCTATAATACAGAACACATTTTTCCCTGTTCTCAATTCAGCATACATCAATTTACACTTGTGAACGCTCAAATCTATACACACTCACTCATGGAAGAAAACAAAACCAGCGACACAGAAGAACTAGCAATAAAAGCCAAATTAAAAGTTAAGTCGATTTCTTTTTTTTTTTTTTTCTCTGGAGTGCAGAATGTACTGAAAGCTCCAAAGGAGTGTTTTTAAACTTACCTCGAACAAGAATCCTTCGGCAGTAGTCAGGATCTCCTGAGCTCGTCCGGCTCTTTTCGCAGTTTTCCACTGGTCCGGATGGAGAGAAGGACTCCTGCTGGTCCTTCAGGAATGTTTTTGAAATGTTCCCCTGAGAATCCTTTCCCTCTTTCCCCTCTTTTAGTCCATTCTTCAGCAGCATTCCGGACTCCGAGTCTTGGCTGTAGCGGACATCCATAGTCGCTTATCCTCTGCAAAGATTTCTCCTTTTTCTCCTTGTTGGGAAGAAATAACTGCACGGGTTTGGACACAGACTGCTTATTCTGGGTAATATAGGTTTGGTCTTTCTGTAAAACAGCAGCTTGGAGTTGGAGTCAGATAGCTAATGTGCCACCAGCACTTGCCCAGTCCACTGATCTGCCCTATTATCTCTGTGCAGACTCACTTGCCCAATGATCATAGACTTCTCACCCAAATTCAACAGCAATTTAACAGCTCCTCTCCTTGTAACATTCACATCAGGCTGATCTCCGGGTAATCAGAGCTGTGGACGGACGCATGCTCGCCGCTTCAATTGATTACGGTAATTTTGCTGCCTCCACATTTGCGTAACCTCATGAATACTCTAAACTGTTTGGGAAATACACATTGTCCTGATAGAGGGGTCCACTCACTCCGACCCCCCTCTCCGCCCTCGTTCACACAGGATCAAGGGAGATGATTTGCCTCGAAATCGCCACCACGCACAATTACGGAGCCAAAGGACCACCAGAAAAGTTCCACTTCATTCCTCGATGCCCCGGCACTGGCCGTTCCTCTGCTCTCAGGCTGTAGTTCGGTCGGGCTAACTTTACGTGCAGGCTGTGAATTTCCCCCGGATAACGGCCCGATACCACACACTGCACCCTCGGAGCTAATACAAGCAAAGAGCGAAAAGAGAGAGAGGGAAAGATCGGTAGAGAGCAAAGAGAGAGAGAGAAAGAACGAGGGAGGCGGAGAGACCTGAAATACGAAAAAAATGGAATCCACTTCGCTCGGAATCTGTAGTGGTAATGAACACGGATTCACAAAAGAAAGGAGATGAACACAAGGGAACTCTGTCAAGCCGAGGACAGTGTGCAACAACCGCCCAGAGTTATCCAGCACCTCAAATACAAACCCCAACCGAATACTACGATCACTCAGCCCCCTTACCCTGAAAGAAACCTGCTGAAGCACCGCTAAAAAACTCAACCTGTCCGAGATACCAACGCTAAAATCCAAAGCGGCCCCCTCCTCCTCCCCTCTCCCACTCCTTCCACACCACTACACACCCACCCACTCAGTCTCGCCTATTTTCATTGTCAAAGCAACAATATCTGGGGGAACAGCAGTGGTCTGTAATCCAATAAGACCATTGATTAGGCTACAATGATTCAATTCAAGCCAATGGTTGTGAGCATGGAACAGGCTCGGACCCTTCTTGTCACCTTGCAGGGCCAGAGGCCCTCTTCATGCTGAACTCCCCCCCTCCCGAAGCCATTCAGTCCTTTATGGGAAACGGAGAGCAAAAGGAGTGAAAGATGGCAATTATCTAATTGGACTATTAACAAACAATTCTGTGAGTGTGTCTGGTAGGGAGCAGAAGAGGATGGGGAGGGGGGTGCTGGACTAACTTCATTTAGCGAGTGTGTGGGGCAGCCTGTTGGAGAGAGGGAAAGGTTGTTTAAAGAAAAGATGAGAGGGAGGGATTGTTTAAAGAAAAGGTAAGAGGAGGCTACGAAAAGGGGCCGCAGGGGCAGAGGGGCAATTCTACGCCGAGCTTGGGAAAAAGAGTTTGGTGGGACGCGTACCAGCTGTGGTCCGAGACGTTCCAGGTCAACAAAAGATGAAGATGTCCTGCACGGAGACTGTAGGACACGAAACTGTCTAGGTACAGAGGCATCTTCAAATATCTGTTGCTTTTTAAAACTGTCGGTACTGTGTAATACCTGTTGAAAAGAACAACAAATTTAAAGTTTGGGATGCAGGTTAATAAAATGACCTCATAAAATACTAATGTGTTATTTAAGGTACGAATATCAACCCGTAAGATATAAAGCCTTAAGTTATGGATATCAACCCTTAAGATACTAATATGTATCCTCAAGTCTTAAGGAACAAATATGTTCCCTTAAGTTAAGAATACCAACCCTTAACATATTATGATTTTTTCTGGTTCAAAATTAACAACATTTAAATAATGAAATAATAGATCATGCATCCTTCTTCCAAAATGTCTTTTTGCCTTACCATGATTCACTTTGGTAAGCCTATTATAAGGGTTTATATTTTAGACTGGGCAGGATGGTTTTCACAGGAAATTGCGTACAAACTGTACATCACTCACCCGTGCGTGTTTCATTATATCCGTAAATAGAGAAAAGTTGCTCCAGCTACTTTGACACATGTATGATGTGGGAGAGGCATAGGTTAGCTGTCACAACGAGTGAGAAAAGTTGACATGGAGAAATCTCAAACCTCCGGAGAATCTCCCGTTTTAAAAAGACCCCGAACAGATGAGAGTTTGCTGGCAAACAGAGAACGTGACAGAGCTCGTAATAAAACAAGAATCAACATTGGCTTGGCCTTTTGGAGATGGCGAGTACTGAGGGATTTGAATTGTAAAAGTGCTGTGGAGATAGCGTATTTATACTCAACAGATAAATTGTAGCTCTATATGTATATAAATATGTAGCTCTCTAATGGAGTTCATTGTAAAGCATTATATTGTTAAGGGTCATTTCATTTGGATTTTTGTAGCGCTGTGCTGAAATTTATTTTCAAGGAAGTATTGTGTCTATTAAGTGGCGTAGCTACTGTAAAGTCTTCAGCTAGTCAGCTTGAGATCCTTTCCATCTAAACTGGGTGGGTATACAGTATCTCCTTTAAGCCTAGAATGTTTTATGATGAGAAGGATCATTTCTCTCGCTCTCTTTTTAGTCATGAGAAAGAACCATATTCTCGCATGTCAAGTGAACAGGTTTGAGTTTCAGTTTTCCACAACTGTGTGTTGATGAATGTTTATATGTGAATAAAAGCCTGAATTCAATCTGTTCATCATATAAGGCGATCGTGTCTCTTCAGAAAATTTGGAATTAACCACTCAATTCACGTGGATTAGTTTTACGATCTCTTTATGAGCTTTTTGAATCCTCAAAGTGGTAGTTGCGTAGACTGTCAATGGAGAGACTGAAATCTCTCAGATTTCCTTAAAAAGATCTTCATTTGTGTTCTGAAGATGAACGACATAAGGGTGAGTAATTAATGACAGAATTTTCATTTTTGGGTGAACTAACCCTTTAAAGTACTAGCATGTATACGTTAGGGGTAGATAATGCACAAAGGTGTACCTTTGAGGGCACTGCCCCATTGACAAGCAATAGCATGTGCAACAAGGTATCTAACACTTTTTTTTTTTTGACAGTGCAGGCTTTTTAACTTGCTTAACCAAGAATCCCTTATATACAAGTTTCCAACATGGCTGAACAACATAACTTCTATGCTGGTCCAATAACTAGCTGCTGGGCAGACAATGACAAAGGCTTATAGCAAAGTAAAGTGTACTGCTGAGAAGGAGAATGGGATTGGACTCAAACCTAGTAAAGAGCCATCAGTTATTACATGTCCTGAGCATGTGCACAGTCCACCTAGCAACATGTCAGAAAATGTTTGACCCTGTAGTCATGCAAATTACTAAAAAACCTTTTGATAGTTATAAATTATAAGTATTTATTTAAAGTATGTGGTATAAGGGAAGCATTATCTGAAGTATACCCAAATGCCTCACTAGATGCAACAATTTAATGATTTGTGTTGGAATTAAAGTCCTGACCTTCAGGTTAGACATTTCTGTCATTAACAAAAGCAGTCATAACATTGTGAAATGCTAATATTTTCGATGTGACATTTTTGGGCTTTCATCATGTTTTTTTTATTTTACATTTCTGTGTGAAGGTTATTCAGATATTTCCTTAATGAAGTAGCTGTGAGGATCCTAGGACAATATGAGTGCCTTTTCCTCTTCCTCTGTTTGTCTCCATTGTGTCACTGCTGGTAAAGCCTCCCATCAGATGGTAAGTAAAGCCCAGAGTGTCAGAATGGCAAAACTCACCTACCTCATTTATTTAGAGACAACAAAACACTTCAGCGTCAAAAGAGAAGAGGGACAAAGGGGAGATGGGCGGATAAACATAGATAGAGACAAAAAGACAGATGGTGAGACATATCAATAGATAAATAAGAAACAAGGCATGCCATGACAATACCTGAAGATGGGAAAACACATTTTGAGCAGGTCCTTTGAGTCTAGGCAATGCAGCATTTGGGTTACACAGCTATCAGAACTTCAAGATTTTACAAACCTCCTGTGGATTATGGAGAAACAAAACAGGCTTGCATAAGAAGGATGGAAAAAAGCCAGAACTATGATCACTACTTTCATTTTAAATATAGAATACATGTTTCATAAAATGTCTCTGTGGGTGACGTTATGAATATCTAGAACTATTCAGACTCCTTTAATTCAACATTCATAAAATTTCAGAATTATATATATATATATATATATATAAACTCATTTTAAATGCTGCAAGTGAATTTAGGCATCATCATTTAATATATACAGTACACAAAGTATACTGTATATATATGGCATTTAACAGTGTTATTAAATCATCAGTGTTAAACATTTTTTACTTTAAGAGAGCATTAAAATAAGCATGCACAACTAAATATCAATATCAATAAAATGAAAAAAATCTCTAATATTGGCCGTTAAACTGATATGGTAGTGATATGCTTCTCTAATTACTAATTAGTTTGTAAAACTACATCACAAATCTATGACTATGTACTTGCCATTGTACTTGCTCTTGTTAAATGCATGTGCTAAAATAAAAATAAAGGCACAAAAGTATAGGTACTATTCATAATAAACTAAATGTATTCCCCTGTTTCAGCAATAAATAAACCTTAAAATATTACTGTAATAGGGTAAAACATACATCAATAACAGATTCCACCTGCCACTTCCAACTAACGCCAGTGTGTTCTTCTACGGCTGATACACCCATAGACAAAGTGTGTTTTGGCTGTAAAAGAGGCTGAGGGGGGAGAGACTTGAGCCCTATCTTGCTCTTAATAGCTCATTAGTAGAGCTAAGCAGGCTCTCTTCTGTATCGCTAGCACCTTTATTCTGCTAATGTTCCCCGTACCTCTTTCTGCCATCAACAACATGTCAAATGTGCATGGAGGCAAGTAGCGCCAAAACCTGGGAACGGTTTCAAAACATACCACGCTACTATCAGAGAGGGGTTGATCTGAAATGATATTTTGAAAAGCTCATCCTCTTGCACAAAGGTGGATTGTTGTTTGTGTTGGGGGGATGAAATAGGCAGCAGCATCTGTCTAGTCTAAGTAAGAAAGTTCAAGAGTTTCAACCCTCACATGACATGCAAACACGGCCTGCTCTTAAACTCAACACCAAGAGGCATAATGCAATGTCTAATAAATCCACGGCGTAATTATACGGCATTGCTGCATGATTTATGAGCACATAAAACAGTTTTTTGTTTTGTTTTTCTCACAAAAAGACATAATGCATTGAAAGCGAATTAAAATAAATGAAATGAATAGAGGTGTTTGTTTGTATCTGTGCATGCAGCATAATCAGAAGAGCAGGGATAATACATAATAAAATCAACATTCACTCACATTTAATTCACCAGTATTGATTGATTGATTATAAAATTGTAAATATTTATATAAATTATATTAAACAGCATACAATATCTGGCTCACCTCAACAGAATAGTATATGCTACAAAAATAACATATTTAATAAAATATGCTATAGTGGCTGACAATCAACTAAATAATTATTTGAAGTCTGGTATTCAGGCAGGTCAGATATTCTTACATGTAACGGCTCAAAATCATCAGAGGTTTTTTTTTATTCGCAAGGATTAGAAAAAGACCTGACTGTTTTTAAACAAGTGATTTTCAGATAATTGTTCTGGAGAGCATGTGGTCAATGTTTTCTTCTCTTTCTCTTCCATCATGTTACCTAGAGTAAAGCCTCTCGTTCAGATTTAACAAATCAATACCATCTCTCAGCCTCTGTTTTCCTGTTCAAAACAGTGCTAGGGACCATCTTCAAATCATAATAAACCACATAATACCAGCAGAAACCTGTCTGACCTGGAGTCCGTGTGTGTTTAAGTAGGATTGTTTACGTGCGTGCGCGCGCGCGTGTGTGTGTGTGTGTATGTTTAAGTACACAGGCTAAGGTTTCTCATCAGAGCACATTTTGTTAAAGTCTGATGTGGGGTTTCAGAGCCATTACAGGTGGAAAAGGAGGGGTGTTTATAGCCATCACTCTCATCTTTGAGACATAATCTCAGACAATCACTCCTATTTCAATTAAATGAGCTGGGCTGCGAAGAGATGCGGAATTTGTTCATGTTTTTGGTTTTCCTTTATGTTCAATGGAAGCTTTAACAAAGGCAAACGCGTCCTGTAAAATTAAAAAGTTATTAAAAGTTTATAAAGAATTCAAAAAGCACACCAAAGCTAAGCAGTCTTAGAAAAAATATGAAAGAAAAACAATTTAATCATTTAAAAGAAACTGTAAACATAATTACACACATTTAATTATTTTCTTTTCTCTCACACAAAGAAAATCAACCATGATGTTTGCACTGATAAATGCATCATCTTTTAACTAAAATAATAGATTTAAAAGACATATCCTGACAAATAGCAGAAATATTATGTTCCCAGTGGAACAATGTGCAGTTATAAAATGTCATGCAGAATTTAGGCTTTTTAGGATAAAGATTTCCCTTCCCCCTCCAGTGTCCCACTTTAGCTTGGTTTCAGGATTTCATCCACAAAGCTCTACTTATAGGAGCATGCTAAAGACTTCAATCTGTTACAACAGAGCTATGAGTCCGAGTGTAAATTAATGCGGCACGTTGTGGAATATAATGGACAGATAATTTGCAGGTGTGGGCGGCATTTGGGGAGGAGGGGATTTGTAGGCTATGAATGTCAGTGCAAAAAAATGTATTCAAACCGCTAACGTCAAATGCAAAGTCTGGTCAAAACACATTTACTTCACATACACTTATCTCAGGTGTTTTCTAATATTTATTTTAGCTATGCACGTGAGGAAAAACTGGGAACACATACCATGTGTAGCGTCCGGCCATTTTCCCCCAGAGATTGGTTAATTGAGCAACTGACTGGATAGGCCTGAAAAAGGTCTAGAATCAAATGTAGCCAGAAGAGGAAAACATATATGATAAAACTGGTTTACAAAGCCGTGTAAAACAGAAACAGACCATCATCACATTAGCCACTGTGTTTCCAAAGTGTGTGGGGCAAGCGACGCTTCCTCACAGTCTCCTATGGTTTAGCGACTGACGCCATCTTCTGGTGGTTTAACGACGTCACACATGCTAGTGACGACGACTGACCTGGCTTGACTTGAGGGAGGCTAGCTGACACTTTTTCCACGGGTGACTATTTCTTAGTTGTAAGTATTTTTCTTTTATTATCACTTAAAGAAAATATTTATTGTATTATCACATTCCTTAAAGTCTTGGCTACAAAAATATTTTGAACATTTCCATCTTTTCGCCCAGTAAAAAAGATACAGTTCACTTAAAACTGAGTGAACACAAAATTGGAGCCTGTCAGTCTATTAGCCGTTAGACTTTCACCTAAATTTAAAAAGGTTTACGAAACGCTCGCGCAAAAAAAGAGCCAACAAACCATTGTTTTAGTCAATACATATTGAGATTAATAAATAAAAATAAATTGTCGGTTTACACAGTAAGCCTATGTACAGGTATGGGTATAGACCTACTTGTGAGGGCCAATTAATATACTTTAATTATATATCATTAAAAACCACACCTTGTGAGGACAATTAATGTATCCTCACTAGTTTAGCCTAAATGTTTATAAATCGGGAAAATCGTATGACGTGGTTCTGTAAGGGTTAAGACAGAAATAACCATTAACCTCATAAAATGAATGGAAGTCAATGATGTCCTTATACAAACCAATGTTTTGTAACTGTGTGTGTAACTGTGGCCACTGCCTACAGACCAGTGGTCATGCAATGAGGCATTTGTAGAGAAAACTTTCTCAACATTTTGTTGGATGATTATGAATAGGTTAAAATCTGTGTTTTTATGGTAATAAATAGGCCTATATGTAAATTGACACCAAAATAACAGGATCATATATCTAATCTGACATTGTAGTAGAAAACATGTAGGCTATTATGTGTAGATGACAAATAATTGTTTTGTAATTTTAGACGCACTGATATTCCATGTAATCTCTGAAGGAGTCATGAAATGTAGAATAATTATAAAACAATCAGACAAAAAGTTTAATAGACAATAGTTTTATATGAAGGACAGTGGTAGGCTATCACACCACAGGACTTGACAATGAAATTTCATGTCAACTGCTCAAAAACAGACATTCCACAGTGTGAGAAGAGACTGTAATAGGCCTATTTGATAATCAGATTTGAATATGCTTATTGTCGACTTTTTATGTCAGATATCTTAATGTTGATATTATGTATTTGAGAAGGGCGAGTGGAAGAAATTTAGTCATGTCAAAATGCAGGTGGAGTAGACATACACTGTACTTTTAGACCCTGTTCTAAAGAAAGACAAGAATTAGACGTAACATTGTCTGGGAAGCAGACACACTCTGTCAGTTCAAATCTAGACTAAAAAACACATCTCTTTGACCTAGCATACACATAACACATTATAGACTTCTATAATTCAATGTTAGGCTGCATAGATTAGGTCAGCCGGAACCGGGAACACTTCCCATAAATCTTGATGTTACATCATAAGAAGGATGGCGTCTACGCTGATATTAGTCTCTCTGTTTATCCCGAGGTTTACCGCAGTCAGCCGGATCCAGGCCGTATCCGGATCTGATGAAGGACCTGCGCCTGGATACGACGACAACGCAGTCCTGAAGTGTCAACTAGTCTCTCCCCTGTGAAGGCCTCCTTCCCTTCCCTTTACCTCTGTACAGATAAATAGTTGTCGGAATAATTCCAGTTCACATGGCTAGCTACGCGGAAGCGATAAAAAATTTGGTATTATAAATTTTTCAAGGCTTGTACCTTGGAACCTATTTCATGGTTTGCGTTCTCGAGGCACCAGGCACTGTTTTGTGCAAATGAGCGGCCGAATCGCATTAAGGGTTTTCTGTTAGAACGGTGTCGTAACTGATGATTGTTGCGACGGAAGTGAATCAATCAAAACTAACTTTAGCTAGACAATAACCTTATTCTAGAGCTGCTGTAAAGCCAAAACAATCTCTGTTACTTTAATTTCCTATTATCACTGTAAAGCTGCTTTGAAACAGTCCATATTGTTAAAAGCGCTATATAAATGAAGGTGACTTGACTTGACATTGCTCAACTGGTGGAGTCAGCTGACTGAGACAGCACTCCTTTTGTACGTTACTAAATATGAAACATATTCAGGTGAGCTCACCACACCCTCTGACTTGGACACCTTGGGCAGATTTGGCACATGCAGACAACAATGACAATGCTGGCAACATTAATAGCAATGATAACATGTTGACGCTGTTACAGTATGTAATTTATATAATAGCCTTTTATGGGATAAGGAAAGTCTGGTCAAAGTTAATTAGGCATTTAAGTTTTTGTATTTGTTCAATTACTATCAAATGCTGAATGAACAAATATAATAGGCATAATTGTGTGTTGTAGCTTAGCTCTTCATTCTCATTTTCTTTTTTCATTTAAATCTATTTATGCTAAATAAACTCTTTCAGCGAAGTGGGATGTGCATTTTAATGACTCAGAAAAAGATTTTGCTGAATAGGTTGACAGCCATGACCTCTTACCTTGTGATACATGCTTGAAAGAGGAAAAGCACTGAAGCTATTTACGATTTATTGGCAGACTCGCTGACGAATTCTTCTAAAGCAACCTTGCATCCATTTACCTGGGTGAGTATCTACTTAAAATCCATAGAAAAATAAGTCAGCAAGTGAATATGCCAATCTAGATACTGAAGACTGAAATAATGCAACTTATAAGCAAATCATTTTAGAAATACAACAGAGGAGGGGACAAAACATTGCAATATGAACACTTAGGCCTACGTAAGTTTAAAAATAAGACTCACCTGGGTGAAACATCGACAAAGAGATGACAGCCAAACAGTGTAGAGGAATTTGATGTTGAATTCCCATTGAGGTAAATATATGCTCTCCTGTTACTTCATATATTTTTTATCAGTTCACACTGTCATGGCATGTCTTATCAATATTTTTGTTTTCATGAAAACCTGTGTTTGGTATGCAGTCGAAAAGGTTTTGTTAGTTTGAGGTAGCCCTAGTTCTTGGATAGATAAGCAGGAAAACTAGCTTTTCAAGCTGTGCTGTACTACATTTGGCTCTTACACTTTCATTTGTGTTTGCAAAGCAGCTGGATCCAGATCTCCGCACAAACCCTCAACAATGCTTAAGGTTAGCTAGTCTTTCCTCTCTGAATTTCTTTAAAAGACTTGACTTGTAATTGAGATTTTTGTAATGAGATACTGTTTGCAACAAACAGTTGACTTTACTTACCTGAATTGAGGGAGTTGTAATGCTTGACTTCTTTTTAACCGTCTATGTGAGTAAACAGAGTAGATCTTGGGATCATAGATTGTGTTATTCAAACACTTTTGTAATCAAATGGCATTATTTCTCAACTACTTAATTTTCTGTTTCTTTCAACAGAGAGAAGTCAAGCCATACTGGAATCTGTCTGTCAAAGTTTTACATGCGAAGATCCATCGGTCCTATGACTACTGTGAGACAATCCGTCCTATTAACAGCAGCAACACCAAATATATTCATTTACACGTTTAGGAGAAGTGTAAAGCTTACAGCAAACATGTCTAAACCTGTTTGCAGTTTTGATGAAAAAAAATGTGTGTTTTTGTGTGGACCAGCTCTGCTGGTTACATGTGCCTGTTTTTATAGAGCATTCTCTTTTGATGTAATATATAGGGTACAATCATTTTTCCAATCTCAAATTCTATGTTAGTATACAGTATAATCCTTTGTCCACCTAACAGATTTTTAAAGGCATTTCTGGGACTTTAGCCCTACAATCTAACAACTAACACAACAAAAATCTCTCTTCATTATTAAGGGCTGTGTACTGTATAAATGGATCAAGATTTATTTCTCACTGCCGACTTTTCCAACCCCACCTCCATTTTTCTTTAGTGTCTGCATCTGACTGCTATGTCATCCTGAACTTACCCACAGCATCGGTCCTTACAAATCGCACCAAGACTATCCCAAATAGCGACAATCCTGAATGGAACGAAACGTTTAAATTCAGGGTCCACAGCAACGTCAAGGTAAACCACTAAAATATTTGTCTGATCTAAGATTGTTTTCTTATACTGTCTCCTCTTTCTAGCTTTCACTATTTATGAACGTATGAACTAAAAATGAGTCGTATGAACCAAAAAATGTTACAGTACACTTTCAGTTCTTTTTTTCTGTTCTCCTACACAGAACATTCTGGAGATCTTGATCTATGATGAAGACCTATTTATGAGAGATGACCAGTGTGCCACTATTTTTTTTGACATCAACAACCTTACACCCGGGAAAAAGGAGACCAAATGCTTTATTGTAAATGATACGGTCAGTGCTATTTTGAGATCTTCAATCTAAACTGACATTACAGCATAATAAAATGGACACTTGACAGAGCACTTGATATTTGATTGTGAATTTGTGACTATTATACTTTTCTTTCTCAGACCAAGGATGAACTGTGGGTAGAGTTTGAGGTCACTGAGAGGTGAGGGAGATTGCCTTTCTCATTAACATTTGCAAAAATAGGTGCTAGTGAGAAGAACCTGTTTTACTGATGCATGTGCATGTCCATACACATAAATATTAACTGAATATGTCTGTATTGTGTGTGTATATGTATTGCAGCTCTGAGACACCAAGGCCATGTGTATCTAATGGAGTATTGGTGGTACGAACCTTTACTACAGCTTTCTTATCTGTATCATGGGTTACAGTCAGAATATTTAAAAGTAGACACTATTCTTTGTAAATCTGAAAGGGAATGGAGGATTTTTGTTTTGCAAGGTGTACAAGAATCACTTATATGAGTTCTGAACTATAAGAGGGGCTAAAGGCTATGGTTACTCTTACCACAATTTTTTTTTTTAATCTAATAAAATACTAGATAAAATTAATCAGATGAGCTTCATGCTTTCTCATGAAATCAGACAGGTCCTTTTTGTGAGCTGAATGTGGAGATAGACAAGCTTCTCAATAAGTCTGAAGGTAAATATAGACATTTTCATCCAAAATTTGCATAGATAACAGATGGCTACTGAAAACACACCGGAATTCGATATTCAGAAATAGATGTAATAGGAAATAAAGTGTAAAATTACATAATATTATTTTTATGTTTATTTTTACACGGCTTATTTTTTCATAATTAATGTAAAGAATAAACACAAGAAAGTGTGATATAATCACAGATTTAGGGGATTTTTGCCTATTCTCTTTGTGTTCCAGCAACGCAGAACATGGTGTTAAAACTTAAAGGAGCCTACAAAGAGGATTTTGTGATCTCAAATTCTGAGGAAAGCTCCGGCTTCCTGAAAACATTACGTTACTACATCAACCGAGACCTGGAAACTGAACTTAATCTGACTTCTGAGACTATTGTCAGCACAGAAAATGTAGGTCATTGATGTGCAAGAGGCATTCCTGACTCACATTGTTAATTGAAAATTACTGGAAAAACTACACATTCATTCTTGATATTTGGTGCCATAAGAAACAGTATGTATATGCATGCCTCATATGTGGGGTTGTAGATTTATAAAGCACCTAAAACAGAAAGTGTGCATCAAAAAGATATTTAATGTTTGTTTAAACATATTTTCTCCAGGCTGGGACAGTAGTAGTTGATGCTGTTGTTCCAAACCATGTAGACACTGAATTGACTTCTTTCCCTTTAAAACCACCACCAGCCAAACACCAGCTTACTGTCTCTTTGCCTCTAGGAGTGGTGAGTACTGTAAAAAATAAACTTTGCATGTAGGTTATTGGTTAATTAATTATATCTGAATGTGGCTTTCCAAAAATGATTTATTGATAACATAGTAACTTGAGTATTATAAATTGCTTTCCATCTTTTCTCATAATATAATATAATATAATATAATATAATATAATATAATAATTAAACAATGCTGTATTTGTATTCATATTCTGTGCATTTATCTAAGTGGACCTTTCTTTATTTTTTTTCAAAGAATAAAGTTGATCTGCAACTGAAAACAGATGATCGGTAACCGTGAATTCATTCACACCTATCCTCAGTAATAGTTTAATAGAAAATTGTTATTTGGAAGTATAAAACAAAATATTGTAAGCTTTAATACTATTTATCAGCTTTCATTTCAAATCCATCCTAATCTTAGAGTAAGGATATTTTTGTGTTTTGTTCTGAAGCTCTGATGAAGAGCTGGATGTGCGTCTGGATTTTGATATCCCAGAGGAGGAAAAGAATTTTCTGGTGAAGAGAAGAAAAGTCGTGTCAAAAGCTCTACAGAAAGCTCTGAATCTCAGCTCTGCACCTGAGCCCAGCAAGGTACTATAGATGCAAGCACAAACAATCCAGACACTCAGCAAAGAGCTGAAGAGATTGGGATGTTTTACTACTACTATACTGTAGTATATACACAAAAATAGAATTTTGATTTCAGATCTGTGTTTGATGTAACTTCTCAGGTCCCTTTGATGGCTGTGGTGTGTTCTGGGGGCGGGAGCAGAGCATTAACATGCACGTACGGTAGCCTTCAAGGTCTCCGGAAGATCCAACTTCTTGATGCAGTCAGCCACATCACAGGGGTTTCAGGTGCCACTTGGTGAGATCGAGGAGCCTCAATGTACTTTTAAACATGACTTTGTACAGTATCTAGACTGATAAAAAACACAGCAAGCCATTTTTCCTGGAAGTCAGCCAGTCAGATCAAGAGTACCGGTTTTGTGGGTAGGATGCATCAGACAGACTGGAAACATAGTTTTAAGTTATATAATTACCCTAATTTCAGAACAAAATGAGTTGATGGGTCACCTCCGTGATCTGAATGACTGTGTAACACTGCCACAGTGTCATATGGCAAAAAATATTTTGTGTAATCTCTGTATTTCAGGGCTTTAACCTCTCTTTATGAAGACCCTAACTGGTCACAGGGGGGCCTTGATAAGTCTATGGAGTCTGTAAAGAAGGAAATCTCTAAAAAGGTGCTCAGTATGTTTTCCCTGGAGCAGCTACGGGAATACAAAGAGAAGGTCGAAGAGCGAGTGAAAGAAGGACACCTCGTGTCTCTCATCGATATGTGGGGTCTGGCTTTAGAGTATCTTTTCCAAGGAAAGGTAAAAAGAAGCAGGTGTTTGCTGTCAGTTTTGGCTCAGTATTAACATTTGGTACACTATATATAATATACTTTCCTTTTATAGAAACGAATGGGTACACTATCTGAAATGCAGAGGACAGTGTCCTACGGCCAGAACCCTCTACCAATCTTCACAGCTGTCAACCTGAAGAATGGCAAGACAGAAAGTATAGTAGATGCAGGTATGTAAAAGATAATGGCCACTCAATTTCTATTCTCAGATTAAGACATAAGGAAATAAACATCCCACGGGCAACAATTTTGTAATACAGCTGTGTTAATTTTGTCAAACAAATCCCTTTTCTGAACATCTTGCCTGCTATACTGGTCACACTAGTTAGTCGTGTGTCAAATCTACATGTGTAGGAAACGCAGAAGCGAAAACCAGGAGACTCTGGCGTATCTTCAGTAGAAATCTTTATTGTGAATGTGCTGTGTGTCTCTTCAGTCATAAAAGTCCAACTAAGGAAGCTATACATTGTAGTTTCATACACATTTTAGGGGGCAGTACTCGCAGGTGTAGTTCACCCAAAAATGAAAATTCTGTCATCATTTACTCACTCTCATGTCATTCCAAACCTGTATGAGTTTCTATCTTCTGTTGAACTAGAAAGAAGATATTTTGAAGAATGTTCAAAATATCACCAGACAGGTGATGGCACCCATTCTACCGCACTAAGGCAAAAGGTCGTAACTTCGATTTTTGGCGAAAATTAGTTATTGTAATTTTTGGACAATAATCATATGTTTTATCATATAGATAAACAGCAAATTTCAATTCGATTGTTTTTTGGGGGGAATAAGATTATGTTTTTGGCGTAACTTCAAAAAGCCAAGGGGAAACTGTGGGCTTTATGCCTTCGTTTCTCGCTGCTCCTGAACACTCGAATGAAGTTACGGGTGCGCAGCGGCTACCCTGAAGTTACGGCACTCTGCCTTGTTCTGACCACCATCAAAGTATTGCCGCGCTGGAGTTACGGGGTTTTGATGTTGCAATTAATTCACCTCTGAAGCTCTGTGGCTATAATGAACAGGCTGCGAAGTCAAGATTGCAATGCTAGAATATGTTGTGTGTGTGTGTGCGTGTGTGTGAGTGAGAGAGAGAGGCGCGGGCGCGATCGAACAGTGGAAACATAAAAACATACTCCGTCATTTTGTTCATACAGGACATCCTTCAAACTGCAAAGAGTTTACTTATATTTGTGTACACTCGCAATAAAACACAACATTGTGCATTGGTTTTCATTTCTGTTTATTTTTAAGTTACACATTCTACATTGATTAAAAAAGAAAATCAAATGTGTTTTTAATGGTAGCATTATTTTATACAGAAATAAATTATTTATAATTCAGATGAGAATAAAGTTAGTGTTAATTAAAATTTTAAGGAAAACAAATATATTGATCTGAAATATAGCAAATTAATTTTAAATTCATCCAGGTACAATTACCAAACATCAATTTGACCAACACACAGTTTGACCAACAGTAATCATAACATTGTACTATAAAATAGAAGTTACGGTCTTTTGCCTTGGTATGACCGATTGTCATTTTGTGGGCAATGCTAAGGCAGAAAACAGTAATTTCCTAAAAGGGGTCATTTCTAAAAAAAAATTGTAGATAGGTTAATACAGGTATACACTACAAAATGTGAAAATTGCAATATTATACCTATAACTCAATTGTCAGGAGTCAGGACATTAAGATAACTTTAAAGTCATTTTTCTCAGTTTCACACTCTGGCGAGTTAAGGTCTTTTGCCTTAGTAGGGCAGGATTGACTTCCATATTAGAAAAACAAAACTATGGAAATCAATGGCTACCGTCAACTGTGACTGTATCTGATTCTGATCCCTTCACTTAATAAAATGCATTCATTCGGAACAGCCTTCAACGTCGTCAAACATAGATAACACTTTAGTCACGCATATTATATAATATAATTTACCATATGTTTGTGTAATATACTTGCGTATACAGTATAATACAATACATCCATGTGTATTTATTTAAATGTTATTTTAAATTTAAATAATATTAATTGTTATATTATATGTGTCGTTTATACTATATAATTATAATGGTGAGAGGTTCATTGTAACTGTTGCATCTCACGCACTTTATACCCTTGGACAGTCGAGTACAATCCACACCTGCTTTTCACCACCTTTATTTTATTCAAACTTCTTTATGTGCTGGAGTGATGATCCGCAATGACTGTTGGGTAAATTTCCCTCTCAGCTTCCTGTGAAGTGATCTATCGATGGCTATACAAGCCTATTCAGCCACAGCTTCCAAAGATATAAACGCATGCAAATGATTTTCTTATCCAAAGACTTACAGAACAATTTTTATAATAGGTTCACTGTTTGGTTAAGAAAGGAGATAATAAACAACTAGCTTGTAGTTTGATAGTGTTGCGACTAAAGTGCTTATAGCAGATGTTTCCCATGTTTATTTCTGTTCTCTATTTAGAATGGTGTGAGTTCACCCCATATGAGGTTGGGATTCCCAAATACGGTGCCTTTATACCTGCACAGAACTTCGGGAGTGAATATTATCTTGGTCACGTGGTCAAGAAACTTCCTGAAACAAGGTTACCCTTTCTTGTGGGTGAGTGCATGTGTGTTTTTGCACATAATGAAGACATGGAATAGAACTGAATGCCATAAGTAAGGGAAAGTGGCATGTGTTATGGCCACTAGGGGGATACTGGCCCTGATCCTGTGCTGTAAGCAAACAATGTAAACTGGATCCAGTCACCATTACTAAGTCCAAACTCTTTGTGTGTTTATGAAGGAATGTGGAGCAGCATTTTCTCTATAAATCTTACTGAGATCTGGCGTCTTGCCACAGGAGTCGCCCCCTCCTGGACCCCTTGGTTTGGAGGAGCAGTGAGTAACACAGGTGAGAGTTTGCGATGCATTTTAAACCCAATGCACATAATTTATGCAAATTAGACTAGCTTTCAAAAGTTTGGGGTCATTAAGATATTTTTACTACTTTTTTTCTGCAAGGATGCATTAAAGTGATCAAAAGTGACAGTAAATACATTATTGATTCCTTTTTTACCGATTCCTCTTTTTTGTCCATCAAAGAATCCTAAAAATCCACAAAAATATTACGTTTTTTAAAGTGAAGTTCACAACGTAATTTTGGGAGGAGTGAACCCATCTAATCTTTCAATTAACTGCCGGAGCATATAAGAAGTCTGCTCACCTTGCTCTGGCATCAGCTGTTTTGGCATCCCTCCACCTCCCCAACTCCACCAACATAATTTAGGCATCTGGCTACCATACTCATCATCAAAGCATTAGTAGTCCCACTGGGGGGTATAACTTGAGTTGAAGCTGCTTCCTCAATTTTTCTTGAGCACCAAATCAGCATATTAGAATGATTTCTGAAGGATGTGACACTGGAGTAATCATGCTGAAAATTCAGGAATAAATTCACAGGAATGTTTTACAGTACATTTTAAAATATATTATTATTTAAAATACAATGTTGTATATTGTAACAATATTTCACAATGTTATTATTTTTTACTGTATTTTTGATCAAATAAATGCAGACTTGGTGAACATAAGAGAGAAAAAATCTTTTAGACCCCAAATTTTTGAACATTTGTGGTAGTAAAAAGTATTTTATGATTATACATTGACATGACATAATTGTCATCTTGTCCTCTTCTGTAAAGAGACTGATAGTCAACCAACAGCACTTGGCACATACCTGATCAGTCCCGTGACTGACATTGCTAAAATTCTGTGTGGCTTTATGACCAGCCGCCCCATTGTCAGCCAGATGTACAACTTCCTGAGAGGCTTCAACCTGCACAGGAACTACAATAAGAACACGGGCTTCATCTCATGGAAAGGTCTAGAGCTCTACTTATTCCATTGACCACTTCAAGTGCGATTCCGTGTTTTTCACCCCCCTTTTGTAGTTAATCAGTTTTGATGGGATTTCAATTGTTTTTTTATTACTTTTATTCTACTGTATCTTATCTTATTTCATGTTTATGTAATTGATGTCTGTTATTGCATGAAATATAATCAGGGCCTTTTACTTATGAACAGCTGATAGTGTTTGCAGTCTTCCATAATATTCTTACTGTCTACAGACACACACCCAGATGCCTTTCCCAACACTCTGACACCAACTGATCCTGTGCTGAGTTTAGTAGATGCTGGATTTGCCTTAAATTCAGGATTCCCTCCTGTGGTTCGCTCTCACAGACATGCGGACGTTATTCTGTCTCTAAACTACTCCTGGGAACTGGATCAGTTTAAGGTGAGGGAGACCAGGAAGATTATGTCAGATTTGGTTGAAATGCATATGAAACTTTGAAAAATTAAACAAATATATTTATGCATTGTTTGTGTCCAGTAGGTCATAAAGCAAACTCAGGAGTACTGCACTGATCGCAAGATTCCATTTCCGAAGATTGATTTCAAGAAAGTGGAGTCAGAGCCGCTGAAGGAAGTCTATGTGTTTGAGGATAAAGAGAATCCAGAGGCTCCCATAGTGCTTCACTTTCCCATGGTCAATGTCTCATTCAAACAGTTCAAAGCTCCTGGTAAGCACTAGCAACTAATAGGCCAACCCCAATGCCATATTCTTAATAGAAATTACAGTGCATGTAAGGCAGAACTGTATTTATGTTCCTCAAATATTCTGATTAGATATTCTGGTTATACATTATATAAACTTTTTAAACCAAACATGTAATCAATACACTTCAAAAGCTTGGGGGTCGGTAAGATTTTTTTTTTTTTTTAAATCTATTTTTTTTTAATGCTCGACAAGGCTGCATTTATTTGACCATTAAATAGAGTAATAAAGTAAAAACAGTAATGTAGAGAACATTTTTTATTTTTATTACAAATGTGTAATATATTTTAAAATGTAATTAATTCCTATGATGCAAAGCTGAATTTTCAGCATCATTACTCCAGTCTTCAGTGTCACATGATCCTTCAGAAATCATTCTAATTGTTATGTGGATGAAAGGAGATGAACCCAAAACAGACAGAGTGCAACGAACAGGAGGTTTATTGGAGCAAAACAGGAAAACAAAACCCACGAGGGGGCAAAACACGACTAGGACAAGGAATGATGGCAGACTAGACTAGACAATGACAATACTTCAAATAAACGTTCACAAAGACAAGACTCTACACTAAGTACTCACGGGGAAGAAATGGCAAGGTATAGCAACATAGACAGATTCGACAACATTCAGCATACATTAGGCAATGAACCGACACAAGACAGCAAACACAAGGGGATTAAATACCAAGAAACTAACGAGGGGAACAGGTGACGCTAACAAGGCAATCATGACTAAACACGGATAACAAGGGGGCGGGGTTACAAGACGAGACAACACAAGCACATGACCAAACAATTGGCCATGCGCTTGTACACAAAACATTGGTTCTGTCATGATCATGCCACAAGACTAGGAATAATCAATAACATGATGGCAGAATCATGACACTAATATTCTGATTTGTTGCTCAAGAAACATTTCTTCTTATTATCAAATGTTGAAAACAGTTGTGCTGCTTAGTATTTTTATGATTACCATAATACATTTTTTCCTAGGAATTGAAAGTTTTTTATATATATTTCTTTAAAACAATATAACAGACTCACTGAATGGCAGTGAAATTTAAGAGAAATTAAAGCTTCAAGTTTAAAAATCTTCAATTTACTTATATTGCTAATGCATTCAATTTGTAACTGATGATGACAACACTATAATATTTGCATACCTAATTGTTCTTTCTTACACTATTTGCATACTGAGTTGTGATTGGTCTTGTCTTCTTTGCATGTATTAACCCATTTATGCTTTTACAATGCACTGACTGTCATTAATGGCAAAGCATCTCTAAAAGCCAAAGCTTAGCTAAAACTTTAACAATATTCTTTTGCTACCTCGTATTTTCTTCAGGAAATGCAAATCTAGGTTTTAGTTGATATTCTACGTATCCGGTTGGATTGCAGTTTATTGTGATTAAACATTGCCATCTTTCAGTAGCCTACGTCAGCTCAAATGTTCAAATAATCAATGATAATGTAAAATGATCTGTGTGGTGTAGGAGTGAAGAGAGAAGGCGAGAAGGAGCGGAAGGAGGGAGCCGTTGATGTTGAGTATAACAGTACCTCCTCTCCATATCTCACTCAAAACCTGACTTACACACCGGAGGACTTCCAGAAGCTTATCAACCTCACTTCCTACAACATCCAAAACAACAAAGATGTCATTTTGAATGCGCTAAACAAAGCACTTAACCAAAACAAAGAAAGACAGGTGAAGGAGGCGGCAGTAGGAAAGACCAGTTCAGGCTCTAGACCAAAACCAGAATCACATAAAAGAAAGAATAAGGCACGGTGATCTGCAACAGTGTACAGTACATTTCAGAACAGAAAGTCTCTCTTCTGTATCCCTAATTAAAGCCTTTATTTATTTTTTTATGTTTGTGCAGTAGTCTTATCTTTTGTCAACCATTATTAAATAAAAAATAGTTTGCAATGATATACTTACAAAATCAATGATATACTTACATATTACTGTATGTGCATCCCTCTGTCCCAGCACATGCCAGCCAACCCAGCAATCTGTAGTGTACAAAATGATTCATTTTTGATCGGCTAATCACAGAACTGACAGAACACTCAGGATTTTAACAATACTGGGTAGTGTGAAGACATATTAAGGTGTTCCAGACACAAAATATGTGGCAAGTTCTTTTGCCCAATATGACTCATTTACTGGATAGACTGAAGTTTATGCCTTTTTTGTTGTTGTTGCTGTGAGTCCCTATTGTTTCACTATAGAGTGTCGTTGGGGTGTGCCATAGTTATACACTGCATGTCTATGACTACACTAAAGAGTTTCAGTACAACACTGTAGGATGGATTAGAAGCGGGCTTTGCAGTTGCAAGCAGGGCTGGGCAGAGAGCTGTGGGAAGGGAGCGAGGCCGGTGGCACGACCCAAACCGGTCTCAAGTCTCACAGAGGAGCTCTGGAAGGACAAAAGGAGGAGTGGCGACAGTGCAAGACAAGAGAGGACCAGGCCTGGGCGATTTATGTTGTGTTTTATTATGTTTATATATGCTTTCGTTTTGTTGTTTATTTTATGATTAAAATTGTATGTTGAAATATGGTTTGATAATGTCATAAAGACCATTGAGGATCTGAGAGTGAAGTTTTCTCATCCTTTAAAAACCTTTCTATGAGATTTGACCTAATTCCCACTTATTTTGTTTATTTCAAGTCAGGCACTTTGTTCAAATACCATTCCCTCACTTTCCGAATCGTCCCCCTGAATCTCCATTGGATGAGTTCTTAAAGCTTGAACCACATTCAAAATGTATTTCTGTCATTTATAATCTGATTCACAATATTAATCTAGGCTCTGCAAGTAGGGCCAGGGGTGCATGGTATGGGGATTTGGGATTTGAGTTCTCTGATGAACACTGGGAGCATATTCTTTATCTCACACACACATCATCTATATGTGCAAGACATAGCCTGATACAGTGTAAGATTCTACATAGGGTTTACACTAATGCTAAACTTGTGCTAAAATATACCCGTCACGATGCATGTAATAGGTGCAAGCAATCACCAGATCTCATTCATAAGTTGTGGTGTTGCCCTAAATTATTTGATTACTGGACTAAAATATTTCAAAGTTTAAGGGACGCCTTTGCCATAGATATTGATAATATAGCCCACTTCTGGCCATTTTTGTGATGACCGTTTATGTTAACCTTTCAGTACCGGCGAGACGTCTCAAGCGGAAACATGCCTCACCCCCTTCTTTTGATACATTTGCACTTGAAAAAATCAGACTTTCACTCACTGGTTCTTTAAGGACCTTTGACAAACGGTGGCGCCCCTTTTTAGATTATTTGCTGGCTAACTCTCAAGACACTTAAGCTGAGCATCCACCCACCCACCCTTCCCTTTTCTTTTTTTCCCTTTTTAATTTCTTTTTTTTAATTTCTTTTTTTGTAAAGTGTTTTGTTTGTTAAGATATCAATATTGTGTTGTTGTTTTTCTTTTCTTTTCCTTATTGGAAGTTGTAGGTTGCTGATTTTAGGGAGGTTCTTACTGGGGCATTAACAGTGTGGAATGAAAATTTCATAAAATCAGTGTTGTTATCTGTTGATTTGATGTTCCGTGCAGAAAAAAAAACCCAATAAAGAAATTTGAAATAAATGTTTACGTTGAATGTTCGCAGTTCCCGCATCCTTCTTCCCTGAGCCTGAGAATATTGTCAATTCTTGTCTGCACCTGTCTCTATGGTTTCCAAGAAGTTAAGTTTTGTCAGCTTTTTTCATCAAATCCTGGTCTGTCTTGAGTTTGCTGGTCACATGATTTGCTTCAAATTTTTCGTGATCAATTAGTCAGCCTGACCTAAATCCAACATGGCTGCCAGTGGTGCAGAACATTCAGATTTTGAAATAAGTATATATTAAACTTACTTTTCTTCTGAAAAAAAAAAGAAGAATACTGCTAACATTAATTGTGAACATTATCTTAAGGTGCTGACGGAGAAAATTTAGTAATATGTTGTTCATGTTGTTATTTAGCACGTTTTGAAATGTATGTGACTCCCGAGTCACGTTGCCTGTTTAGGGTATAAAAAAGGGATTAAACTAGTTCTATTTAAAATGCACTATTCAAACTTAAAGGGTTAGTTCACCCAAAAATTATGTCATTAACGACTCACCCTCATGTCGTACCATCTTCGGAACACAGTTTAAGATATTTTAGATTTAGTCCGAGAGTTTTCTGTCCCTCTATTGAAAATGTATGTACGGTATACTGTCCTTGTCCAGAAAGGAAATAAAGACATCATCAAAGTAGTCCATGTGACATCAGTGGGTTAGTTAGAATGTTTTGAAGCATCGAAAATACATTTTGGTCCAAAAATAACAAAAACTACGACTTTATTAAACATTGTATTGTCTTCCGGTTCTGTCCGCAGTGACGCTGGCGATGTAAGAGTAAGATGCTGCTGACGTGTTCTATGGTTACCAGTACAATGCAATACAAAACAATACAATGTTTAATAAAGTCATAGTTTTTGTTATTTTTGGACCAATTATGTATTTTCGATGCTTCAAAACATTCTAACTAACCCACTCAATGGAGGGACAGAAAACTCTCGGACTAAATCTAAAATATCTTAAACTGTTCCGAAGATGAACGGAGGTCTTACGAGCTTGGAACGACATGAGGGTGAGTCATTAATCACATCATTTTCATTTTTGGGTGAACTAACCCTTTAAATGATTGTAATTCAAGAATGCTTTGGAATATAGACCTAAGTTTGGTCTTGTTTTAAAGAAAACAGTCAGCAGATTATTGCTGAAGTGCAAGCATGAAAGTATGAAAAAGTTATGGAAGTTTAAACTTACAGTAAATCTATATATACTGTACTTCATATTATTTTTATTTTATATAAAATATGTATTTTACGAAATATTTTTTACTATAAAATCAAAGCCATATATCTAACCAAGTTGTGTTCCAAATTTGAAGTTGATATCACAAAAATTGAAGTTCCCATGAGATTTTGTTTAGGCATAATACCAAAAATAGCCACCGGGTGACTTACATTCCATTGAATTTAATTGTATGCATTCTGCCATAACAAATTAATAAATTTCTGTCATATCACTTCTGTCACAAAATATGGAACCTTGAGACTCAGACCTTTCTGACAATATGTGTTTTGTCAAGATTAGAAAAGGTTTTGATCATAAATTATGAAACATGACGATGCCCAAAAGGGTAACGCATGTTCTATGGTAACGCAACGTCCAATTTCAAAACGGGTTTCACAGGCTGAATCTTGAGTTCGTAAGCTTTCGAATGATATATCATTTGTCAACATTAGATCAGGTGAAGTATGGGATATTTAATTGTTTTAAACATGCAGTGGCAGTAACAGTTAACAGATTAATGACTTGTCATTAATCATAAAATCACAACTCATCATAAAATCCAAAATATATCACATTTTTAAAAAATTATTTTGGAAATGTTTTATTTAAGTCCAGATGATATAAAAAATGACATGGAATTATTTTTTGCTTAGCATTTTCCACTCTTGCCTGTTTAAGTCGATCGGCAGGAGCAGGGTGGGGCACCCCTGTTCTAAGGTAATAAAAACATAATGGTTCATTTAGTAAGGTCTTTATACACCACTGAACACATAGTTATGGATCTTATATTGCATTTCTGTCAATAGTGTGTTTAGAAATACTGTCATGAAAGTGTACTTTCTTTAAGCAAAGTTTAATTAGACATTATTACAATTTTTAAAAAGTGCACTTAAGTGCGTTTAGAAATGTGGTCATGAAAGTGTACTTTAAGTTAAGCTTAATTAGACATTATTACAAAGTGCATTTGTAAAAAGTGTACTTAAGTGTGTTAAGAAATATTGTCATTAAAGTGTATTTCCTTTAAGTACACTTAAAGGGTTAGTTCACCCAAAAATGAAAATTCTGTCAGTAATTACTCACCCTCATGTTGTTCCAACCCCGTAAGACCTTCGTTCATCTTCGGAACACGAATTAAGATATTTTTGATGAAATCTGAGAGCTGGATCACTCCTCCATAGGCTTCTTCAGGGATTGAACTTGCCGGCCTCGAAAAATTATTAAAGACATTGTTAAAATAGTCCAAGTGACTACAGTGGCTCAACTGACTAGAGGCCCAAAGAGAAGGACATGAGTAGTTGAAATAAAGTCGTTATTAGGGCCCAAGCCCAAAGGGCGAAGGCCCTATTGTTTTCCTTAGGATTATTAGGGCCCAAGCCTTGAAAAGGCGAAGGCCCTATTGTTTTCCTTAGGATTATTATTAGGGCCCAAGCCTTGAAAAGGCGAAGGCCCTATTGTTTTCCTTAGGATTATTAGGGCCCAAGCCTTGAAAAGGCGAAGGCCCTATTGTTTTCCTTAGGATTATTATTAGGGCCCAAGCCCAAAGGGCGAAGGCCCTATTGTTTTCCTTAGGATTATTTATTATTAGGGCCCAAGCCCAAAGGGCGAAGGCCCTATTGTTTTCCTTAGGATTATTAGGGCCCAAGCCCAAAGGGCGAAGGCCCTATTGTTTTCCTTAGGATTATTTATTATTCTTCTTATTATTTTTCTGCTACCTTTTGGACACTTTTGGAGGCCTTAACATGCTCAAAAACTCCTGAAACTTTGCACACATGTCAGAACCCGCGACCATCAGGGCCGGGCTGAAGATGGTACCCGGGCGTGGCAGGGGGGCTCGACAGCGCCCCCTGGAACGGGGTCCGAAAACATGGTCCATAAATCAAACACGCTTGCATGTAATAATATGAAACTCGGTACACATGTAGATCTCCTCGTTTCATATATACTTCACACTCTTACTTTTTACCCCAGCCCAACAGGAAGTCGG